TCAGCAAATATAGCACATATTTATTAGCTGTAGTCCTCATGTTGTACCATGTCCTACAGATCTGCAATCTCACAACGCATGTCCTACATCCCTCTTTTCCTTCCCCTATTCCCGTCCTGTGCCCCTGATGATCACTGTTTTATTCTCATCTCTGTATATTTCACTTTTTTTTTTTAAAGATTCTACATATAAGTGGATCAGGCAATATTTTTCTGTGTTTAGCCTGTTTCACTTACTGGCCTCCAAGTGTATCCATATTGTGGCAAATGGCAGGATCTTCTTCTCTTCTAAGGCTGAATCTTCATTGCATATACAGTGCCAACTTAGTGTCTATGGGGGATTGGCTCCAGTACCTCGGAAGAATACCAAACTCCTGACATAAATCTACATCACTTGTAATATCTAATACAATGCAAATTTTATATAGGTTGTTGTTTTTCAGCAGATTGTCTTCCTTTATATTGTGTCTTTTTTATGTTGCATGTTGCTTTTGTTATCAGCCTGATTTTTCGCTCATTATTTGATAGTTCTGCTGATGTTTTATTATTGAGCAGACATGTCTTCATTAAGAGTTTTTGGAAAACTCATCAAGTTCAACGAATACATTTTCTTCATAACCCATTTGGAATTATTTCTAATAAAATGATAAAATATGTAAAAAAAATTCCTTATCTATATTCCCATTTAGATAGGGAATAATAACAAGAAAAAAGTCTGCACATATCCAGTACAGATGCAGTATTTTTCTCAAATATTTTCCATCTGTGGTTAGTTGAATCCATAGATGTAGAATCCATGGAGGGCAGAGTGTGTATACCACCATTTCTTTCATCCATTTGTTGATGATAGACACTTAGGTTATTTCCATATCTTGGCTGTTGTGAATAATGTTACAAGGAATGTGGCATTCAGACGTGTTTACACGATGGTGACTTCATTTTATGGGGGATATGCCCAGAGGAGGGATTTCTGGGTCTTGTGGTAGTTCTATTCTTAATTTCTTTAGAAATCTCGATGCTGTTTTCGATAATGGCTACACCAATCCACATTTCCATCAATAGTGTAAAAGGGTTCTCTTTTCTTCACACCCTTGCCAACGTTTGCTATCTCTTAACTCTTTGGTAATAGCCATCCTCATAGGTGTGAGGTGATATCTCATTGTGGTTTTGATTTGCATTTCCCTGATTATTAATGATGCTGAGCACCTTTTTATATACCTGTTGGTCATTTTTCTGTCTTCTTTGGAGAAATGCCTATTCAAGTCCTCTGCCCATTTTTAAAATCAGGTTGTTGGTGTTTCTACTATTGAATTGTATGAGTTCTACTATTGAATTGTATGAGTTCTTTATAAACCTTAGATATTGATCCCTTATCAGATGTATGGTTTGCAAATATTTTTTCCCAATTCATAGGTTCCTACTTTATTTTCTGATTATTTCCTTTGTAGAGCAAAAGCATTAAATGCAGTGAAAACCAGAAGTGAATTTCTACATATTTTTGGGTTCAGTTTGCATTGGTTCAGAAGTTTCTATTAAATTAGGTGTTTTGGATGTGCATTAATTCTTCAACGCCTTCTGGGTATCATTTGGGACACTGCCATGTTATTACTGCACAGCCTGGTGAATCTGAAAACATTTTATATCAGTGGGATTTTTCCTATCCGATACTCCCACAGACGTGGGCTGTAACTCATACTAAATGAGCACATCTATAAAACAGAGAACTAATACCTACCTTGTGGGCATGTGGTGAAACTTAATTAGTTAATGCTTCTAAAGAACTTTCAAATCCGTGGATAAAATGTATTATTCAGTTGCTAAGAGCTATCATTGCTTATTATTTCCTCTAGTATTTCCCAGTGAGTGCTTTACCATTAGGGTATAATGGCAATAATTTTGGAACAAGCTTCATTTGAGTTTGTTTGCAGAGTACATGAAGCTACAGGTAACATTTTAATGAAATCTTTCACCCCTGCCCACAGAGTCATTAGGTACACAGACACTGCCTCTTTCTCTTAAAGCTTTACACAATTTAGTAGTATTTAAGTAACATCATTATTGCTATAAAAAGAATCAACAGAATAAATATTTTTTCCAACGAAGACCAAGTGATTTTGTAACATAACCCTTGTTTATAATTTTATTGATGCTAAGACTATGTCTAATGCAAGGAAGAACAATAAGTTTCATTCAATAATGTACTAATAGTTGTAATTGACCTTGTATGTTAGTCAACATTATAGTTTAGATAAGAGCCACTTAAGACAGGCCCTAGGTTACTCTTCTATTATTTATACACACACACACACACACACACAGACACACATACACACACACACATATACACACACACAAACACACACGCACGTAACTTTGGCAAGGTTTATGATTTTTAGATGTCATGCCATTTAATGCTCACTTGCAATAATGTGAAAGCCAGCCAGCATGTTATAAAATGAATAGGAAAAACACTGGGCCGGGCGCAGTGGCTCAAGCCTGTAATCCCAGCACTTTGGGAGGCTGAGGTGGGTGGATCACAAGGTCAAGAGATCGAGACCATCCTGGTCAATATGGTGAAACCCCGTCTCTACTAAAAATACAAAAAATTAGCTGGGCATGGTGGTGTGTGCCTATAATCCCAGCTACTGAGGAGGTTGAGGCAGGAGAATTGCCTGAACCCAGGAGGCGGAGGTTGCGGTGAGCCGAGATCGCGCCATTGCACTCCAGCCTGGGTAACTTGAGTGAAACTCCGTCTCAAAAAAAAAAAAAAAAAAGAAAAAACACTGGGCTGGAGGCAAGCCACCTCTTTAGAGACTCAGCTTTTTCCCTTCTTAGCAAGTTTCTTCTCTTTCTGCATTTCAGGCTTCTTGTTAAATTGGACTATTACACTTGATTTTCAAACTGTGCTTTTTGGAATTTAAGGCTTACAACAGATGCTTCAAAATTTCTACCAATAGTTAAGTACTTTCCAACAAATATTAAAGATTTATATGCCCAAGAACCCCCATTTATTATGTTTTCTTCTTATATGTATCGTTTCCTTTTACATTTTTACTGAAGATTTTTATTACTTAGGAAAAGAACTCTACTCTGTAACTCAAAAGATCCCTTCAAGCTCTGGCATCCCTATAACCTTTTCATCTCACAGGAAGTGAATCACCACACACACACGGAGATGCACAAGCACACACACAGATATTAGAAAGAATCTTTGAAGATTCCAATTATAGGCTTTGAGACAAGCTTAATTCTTGAGGCTTATGGATTATAGAAGCTCTACTAAATACATAAAATATTCATTAAATAAATTTATTTATTTATTGTAATGCTCCTGTAATGCTTGGCAAATCACCTGCCATAATTCTTCTCAGTGTTTTATTCCCTGCTAAGTATTTGTTGTGGCCAAATTTTTACTTTCAGGGTCTTTGGAATCATTTAGTCACATACAGGTGGCTCAAGTGGGAATGAGCTATAATATGCATGTGTAAGCCGGGAGTGGTTGCTCACACCTGTAATCCCAGCACTTTAGGAAGCCGAGGCAGATGGATCATGAGGTCAGGAGTTCAAGACCAGCCTGGCCAACATGGTGAAATCCCGTCTATACTAAAAATACAAAATTAGCTGGGTGTGGTGGCACACACCTGTAGTTCCAGCTTCTCGGGAGTCTGAGGCAGGAGAATCACTTGTACCTCAGATGTAGAGTTTGCAGTGAGCTGAGATCGAGCCACTGCACTCCAGCCTGGGCGACAGCGAGACTCAATCTCAAAAAAAAAAAAAATGCCTGCATATGTGCTTAGTGCCCTGTTGCCCTGTGAGTGACTTAAGGAACAGGGCAGAATGGAACTCAATAATTTGTCCTATGTTAGCACTTTCTATTTCACAAAGCAGAGGCTTTTAGAAGGCCAGTTCAAATGTCTGTTTCTCTCTCCGCTATAGAACTTCATAGTCCCAACCCATAGAAATCATTTCAGAAGCAAATGTTAAAAATTGGGCTTGCATCTTTCAATTGCCACACAAAATAAAATGGTAGGCGTGTGTGTGTGTGTGTGTGTGTGTGTGTGTATGTGTGTGCACACGCACGTGTTTTAAGGCAGAAATGCTGATTGTCAGTATAACCATGTTATCCTCTAGTAAACAAAATATTTTTTAAAAGTTAGTGCTCAGAAATGTATGTTGAATTATGTTGATGTAATAGCAGTTGATCTTGAGTCCATTATCTTGAAAAATGACACCATCCTTCACATTTTGTGTGACACATGAATTTGCCTATCTGAAAGCCAGACCTCTTGGGGTGTTGTAGTCATTGTCTGCCATTTTAAAAGATAAATTCACTGAGAGTTTGACGGGGGCATGTCTACATCTGCTATTATTAGTAGGTCTTAACCTTTGAGTTTTTGATATAATAAAGAGAATCCTTTGCCTGACATTTTCCACCATGCAATATCTGTACATCCAAAGGGTCTTAGAAAGGCAGGAGATGAAATGCAAAGCCTGCCGCTGAGGAGTGCAGCCTGTAGTCCCTGTTCTGCCACTGACTTGTTTGTGTACTTGGGCAAGTGCTAACCCCTAACTGCATCTCAGTTTCTTCAAATGTAAAATGTGGAGGTCGTGCAAGAAGATAGTTAACATCTTTATTAGCTCTGAAAACCCTGTTATCAGGCACATGGAAAACTGAAGCAGTTGGCTTTTATCTGTATTTATATAATGCCCAAAACAATAATTATTATGAGTATTTACCCTATGATGGAACACTGTGCTAAGAGCCTTTATTTTCATTAATACTTTTTATTATTTGTTTTTGAGACGGAGTTTCCCTTTTGTTGCCCAGGCTGGAGTGCAATGGGTCAATCTCAGCTCACTGCAACTTCTGCTACCCCTGGTTCAAGTGATTCTCCTGCCTCAGCTTCCTGAGTAGCTGGGATTACAGGTGCCCGCTACCTTGCCCACAATTTTTTTGTGTTTTTAGTAGAGATGGAGTTTCACCATGTCGGCCAGGCTGGTCTCAAACTCCAGACCTCAGGTGATCCACCCTCATCGGCCTCCCAAAGGGCTGGGATTACAGGTATGAGCCACTTTTAAACTTTAACATAACTTCCTAAAAATAAAGCTCTTAGCACAGAGCCTACGGCCCATTTAACAGAGAAGGAAAATGAAGCTGAGAGCAGGGATGTCTACCTTCTTTCTGAAAGGCACAGTTGGTAAGTGGCAGAGGTGAAATTTGAACCCAGGCAAACTGACTTTAGAGCCTCAGGGCAATGTCAATGCCATATTGCCTCCAGATGTTTGGGGTACCATGCTAATAACTGTCAGGGGCCACAGATATGACACAAATTTTGTCCTCCAAGAGCTTATGGTTATAATTTAAGCTGAAAGTAAATATGAGTGAAGGCACTGAAAGAAATGCCAGGCAGTCTGCACATTGGTGGCCAGAGGAGAGATACAGAAACACGGCTATTATGGGAGTCCTGAGAAGAGGGCAATAGAAACTTGGCATCACTGAAGTGTCATTATAAAAGCAGCCAAAAGCGTTGTCAGCATTCTGCAAGATTTCCATTGCCTTATCCAAAGAAATAGGAGCAGGAGAGAGATGCTATAAAAGGAAGAATAAAGGAAATAACTATTTATCATCTGTGTTTTCAGTCATCCCTCACTTGGCTGAGCTGACAGCCTATGATAATCAGGCTAAGGTGGTTTGTCAGGTAATTCTGTGCAGACCCATAGGTCTTTGGCTTCCTATCACCTCCCTTCTCCCACCTCCCTAATCAGAAGTAACGCTTTCTTCATTGCCTTTGCCCTTCTCCTCTCGCGGCCTTTCTTAATACGCTGTCCACACTGACTGTATCCTAGTTTCCATTTCTGCTTTGAATTTAGTATTACACAAGTATAGTGTTTTGGAATAGTCCCCGCTGATAACATCACCATTGCTCTCCCAAGTGCCTGAGTCATCAGGGATAAGTTCCCTGAAGTACCTCTGCTGACCAGTATGGCTAGGTCACCTCATGGCACAGACAGATTCAGCATGAGGCAGAGTAGCCAATAGTTATGACTCCTCCCCAAAGTCTGCACCAATTCTGACACATACACATGTACCCACACCCATTTTCAGGGGACTATCATATCCCTGATTCAAGAAGGAGAAAAGAAGTAAAGCTGTAGCCTGACGCCTTGGAAGAGATTTATGAAACCATTTGTTAAGAGTTGACTTGTGCAGATTTCAACATGATGGAATGGTGGTAGTTTATATTGGTTGTTGAAATTTGTGCAGAGAACTTCCTGCAGTGATGGAAATGTTCTCTGTCTGGGTTGTCTAACACAGTGGCCACATGTGGCATCTGAACCCATGAAATGTGGGACTTGAAGTAAAAACGAGGAAATAAATTTCAACTTTTATTTAATTCCAAACAAATTTAAATTTTAACAGCCACATTTGACTAGTAGCCACCACATAGAACAGGGTAGCTGTGGATCAAAGTATCCAAATATTCAGAACTGACAATCTAGGGGGATCTAGTGTACCAATGCTAATACTAGCGTGGTGTCTTCCTAGACATATGAGATACCTTATAAAGTTAGTTTCTATACATGACTGTATTTGAGCAGAAAGGTCTGAGTACATCAAGGATTTCTATTGTACAAATATTTATTGGAAGTACATATATGCCATTTATCCTCCAGGTCCTGTCTCAGTCTCAGAATCTTTCTCAGTGCAATGTTTCAGGTAGCTAGTGCCAATTGGTTGTATTCGTGAAGACAGAGACACCTGATTTCTATCTTTGAGGTGCTAGAGACAATATATATAGTGCACTTTGATATACACATCATCTATTAAGGCTTGATGACCAAATGATCTTTAAGATCTGATCATCAGATTGTATGATTCCATCAATTAAAAGAGAATCAGTTCTACATCTTATCCACACTTCTTTATAGACCCTCTGAAGAGAAACCACCTTTGTAGCAGTAAAAGATGCTAAAAGGATGGCCCTCTACTTCCAATACACTCCCTCCCCACACATAAAAAAGAAAAAAATGTACAGCAAGGTTTTTTTTTGTTTGTTTTTTGAGACGGAGTTTTGCTCTTGTTACCCAGGCTGGAGTGCAATGGCGTGACCTCGGCTCACCACAGCCTCCACCTCCTGGGTTCAAGCAATTCTCCTGCCTCAGCCTCCTGAGTAGCTGGGACTACAGGCGCACGCCACCATGCCCAGTTAATTTTTGTATTTTTAGTAGAGACGGGATTTCACCTTGTTGACCAGATGGTCTCGATCTCTTGACCTTGTGATCCACCCGCCTCAGCTTCCCAAAGTGCTGGGATTATAGGCTTGAGCCACCGCGCCCGGCCACAGCAAGGTTTTAAACTGTCTATTGGCTGAAGTGATATCAAATAACTGATTGTTTTCTTTGGTTTCTGGATTAATGTATGCACTGTGTCAGGCCAAGTCATAAGCATTACAAAAACTTACTAAGGTCACGGACTGTTAGGTGCTGGTATAGTACAAGGTTTAATGCCAAGTTATTAAGTATTGTAAAGTGACATAGCAAAACCAACAAAGCTTTACCAGGTTGTACTTAAGTCAAACAGTAATGCTGTGTGATAAATACAATACATGTGATAAATACTATATATATATATATATATATATATATATAAATTCTAGCATCTAAATGTACATGTGTATATGTAGGGATTTCAGTGATTTCCCAGTGATTTTTTTAAACACAATCAGGTTGGCCTAAACCAAGAGGAGTTATGAGTAAAGAGGTACATGAACAAAATTAAAACATTCTAAACACTAAAACAAAGGATAAGTGATTCTAAAATCATGTAAGAATGTCTTACAATTATTATGTGATTATAGTAATAGATCATAATATTTTAAAAATCATTCTCATCTCTATTATAAACTTATACTTAAAATCAGTTATTCTTTTTAAACCCTCACAATTCTTTTCTTCCTAAAAATATAAATTAATTTAGGTAATTAATTTTGAGTAATTTAAATTTCTATAAAGTCATTTAAATATATGAAGTAGTTAATTTGTCAGTGATTTATTGTACACCTTCTTGGAACAAAGCATACTGCAATATATACTCTTGAGAGATAGTAAGATATGGGGCTTCCTCTCTGAGACTTCAGTTTCTCCTTTTGGAATTAGGTGGGTGTGTATGTGTGTGCATATATGTATATATAGTCATCCCTCAGTATCCATGAGGACACCCTGCAGATACCAAAATCCACGGATGCTCAAATCCTTTATATAAAATGGTGTAGTATTTGCATATAGCCTATTCACATCCTCCTTGTATAATTTAAATCATGTCTAGGTTACTTACAATTTCTAATACAATGTAAATGCTATGTAGATATTTATTATACTGTATTGTTTTTTAAATTAGTTTTATTTTTATTGTATTACATTTTAATTTAATTTTTTGGATATTTTTGATCTGCAGTTGGTTGAATCCATGGATGTAGAACCCGTGAATATGAGGGTTGAGTGGATGTATGTGTATATACACATGTGTATATAAATATACATGTGTAGGCATCATGTATATACAGACAGAAAAAGGAGAGAAAACAGAAAAAGGAAAAAGGAAGAAAAAATAAAGTATGATAAAAATTATATTTTGCTTTGTAGCCTTTGAAACAGAGACAGTGCTATGGTAATTGAGGAGCTAGATTTATATCTGCACTGAGCCTTTAGGAATGAATTTAGATTTAAATGGATTTTGAGCATGCAGATATGAACTGAGGGGACAGGGATTTCAGGAGAAGCAACAAGGATACACAGTTATAAAAAGGTAAAGGAGATGAAGGCACCTACCTAATTCACCTTGGTTAAACATAAAGGTGCGTGAAATGTTGTTGAGGTGTGAGAGAGGTTATTGAAAATGATGTCCAGGTGTCCAGTTCGGGTATCGTGAGTATGAAGCCCTGAACTTCCAGCTGTTGGCTGAAAAGAGTTGAGGTTCTATATAGGACAGTCACAGATAGCTAATTCTGTGCTGATTATTGTAAATTGAAAGAAGCTGAATGAAGCAGGGGCTTTCGCAAGGTGACATGGAATGACTCCAGGACTGCAGCAGCACATCCTAACTTGTCTGACCTGGGCAGCATAATCTAATAGAAAAATGGAGTGAATTGGATAAGGGTTTAATATACTTTTGTTTTGGTCTTGGCTCCACATTCTATTACTTGTGTGATTTGGGGAATCTTAACTCTTTCTTAGTGATGAATTGTGTTTTCCCAAATTAACATCTGCCAAGAACCTAAGGATGTGATCTTATTTGGAAATCGGATCTTAAATTAAGATGAAGCCACACTATCTTAGAGGGGGCCCCAAATCCAATGACTGATATCCTCATAAGAAGAGGAGAAGCTGGTGCGATGGCTCACACCTGTAATCCCAGCACTTGGGAGGCTGAGGCGAGCAGATCACTTGAGGTCAGTAGTTCAAAACCAGCCTGGCCAACTTGGCAAAACCTCATCTCCACTAAAAATACAAAAATTAGCTGGGCTTGGTGGTGTGCACCTGTAATCTCAGCTATTCGGGAGGCTGAGGCATGAGAATTGGTTGAACTCAGGAGGTGGAGTTTGCAGTGAGCCAAGATCGTGTCACTGCACTCCAGCCTGGGCAACAGAGGAAGACCCTGACTCAAAAAAAAAAAAAAAAAAAAAAAAAAAGAAGAAGAAGAAGAAGAAGAGAGAGCACACAGAGATAAAAATGCCAAAGTGAGGATGAAAGCAGAGACTGAACTGATTCATCTATAAGCCAAGAACACCAAGTATTGCCTGCAACCACCAGAAGTTAGGAGAGAGGCATGGAATAGATTCCCCTTTGGAGCCTCTAGAAGGAACCACCCCTGCAGCATGTTGATTTCAGACTTCTGGCTTCTATAACTATGAGAGAGAATACATTTCTGTTGTTTTAGGGGCCCAATTTGTGCTACTTTGTTATGACAACCGTAGGAAACAAATATACCTTCAAACCTTAATTTACTTTATTGTAAAATAGGGATGATGATTCTTACCTCAGAGTTTTGATGAGAATTAAATGAACCGGAATCAAATTAAGAATATATTTGTCAAATTTAAAGTGCTCTACAAATATCTGCAAGTTTAAAACTCCATTTTCTAGTGTTGGGAAATATATCTAACAGTTACTAAGCATTAATTATGCACCAATTGAAGCATTAAGCACATTATGCCTGCTCTCTTGCAATATTTAGTTGTCATTTTACCTGCTTGGCATTTGAAACTTCATGTCAACCAAATTTTGTTAAGTGTTTACTTGCTAGGGTAAAAAGTGAGTGCACTGGTCAAAGTAAAATGATGAATGCATTGTTACTTTCTGGTGGTGTTTTTCTTTTAGTCAAACTCATTTCTTTTTCTCTACAGTTAAGCAAACTGCTATGGTTCAATAAGTATAATATGTACATTAAGTTAAAATAAAAATTTCAGTGGGTGTTGAATTCCATGCTCTGGTTTTCAATTACTACTCACCCTCTCTTAGGAAAGTCACACTTCTCATCTGCTCTGGATTAGATGGGGGGAAGGAGCTCCATGTACCACATAGTAAGTGTAATTTGGAATTCCAGGAGAAAATGTATGTGTAAAGCTATTGATTTCAGACTCCTGACTTCTATAACTATGAGAGAGAACACGTTTCTTTTTTTAAGATGCCCAATTTGTGCTACTTTGTTATGACAATACTAGGAAACAAATAACTTATATTTGTTTGTTATTATTTATAACAAATAAACAAAAAACCCAGAACTATTTAGCTCAGTTCATTTTAAGATGATTTGGTAAGTAATGGCTACTTTGTTTGCTTTGCTCTCCTGAGAGAACTTCGAGTTCTGTTCTTTTGTAACACAGAACCTGAAATGGAGCAGTTCAGTGATTTGCCAAATGAGTAAAAGGAGTCGATGCTGCTGCTGGAGCTGGACTCCTGGATTTCAGGACTCTACTCAATAATGAGCTTCCTCCACTAGCATGTGAACCCACAAACTATTCCTGACCATGCTTTAAATGTGGGCAGCATTTAAATAGTTTGTGGGCAGCACCCACAAACTATTCCTGACCATGCTTTAAATGTCCAAGGAGTTTTTCTAGGCTTATATTCTATCATGTATTGAAAAACCCTTTGCTCTCTCTTTAGCCTTGCAGCTTCCATTCCACCGCCTTATATGCAGAAATACAAAGATAAATATAATGGGATATGCCCCCTGCCTTCAATGTGTCATATCTAATGGTGAATAGAGGAAGCTAATGCACAGTGTGTGAAGTGGCTTGCCATTTTTCAGAACTCAAGTTTAACTAGACAATGCCACTTACTTTCAGCAAGAATGTGGATGAAGTATGTGGACTGAAACATCCTGGTGCTAAACTTGCCCACTGGTGTGGTACAAGGGGTAAGGAAAATTATCCAGGTATGGGTGCAACTGAGGGCTCAAGCTGGTGAGCAAATGACGTTAGCAAGATTTTCAGTTATAGTTAAACAGTTGCTGTGGGAAGCCAGAGTGTTACACGGGATAAAGTGGCATTATGTTCCAATAGTTGGACTAGATGTAGTGATGGATGCTAGAAGGGTGGGAGGACATGGTAGTCTCAAATTATCTAGACACTGGCATCAGAGCAGTAGGACCTAGGGACTAGCCTGAAGTTTAGGAATAGGATTCTTCTCTATGAAAGGGGAACTGAAAGGCAAATTTGGGTCAGCACGTAGATGGAAGATAAGAACAAAAGCTAGAAAAAGTGGCAGTGGCTCAGGAACTGAAGAAAGAGATAAGGAATAATCTGCTGGCAAGAAGGACTTGATACCTATGAATTCCAGAATATGGAACTGGAGACAGTTTAGTAAATTGTGTCATGAGACAAAATTTGGGGGGGAAGCCAGAATTAGAAATGCCTGCAGACGTAAAACATAGCTTTAGCCTCAGCTGTTGCGGGGAAGAAGAGTGAAGAAGTTTGGAACCATGCTAGGACATAATATAGTTCATTTGAGAAAAAGAAAAGTGAATTTTTTGATAGCAACAATATGTCACAAAGGGTTAAGAGCACAGGACGTGTGAAAGAGTTCTAGTTCAGCCTTTGTTAGTTATCAGGTGCATGACCTTGGGGTGATTTTTTTTTAGCCCTGATTTCTGTATCTATAAAATGAAAGTGTTCTTAAGTTAGTGGTTCCCAAATGATAGGCCATGGGCTGTGTGTTGGCTGTTCTCGCATTGCTATAAAGAAATACCTGAGACTGGTATTTATACCAGTCTCACTGGGAGACTTGGCTCACTGCAACCTCCACCTCCTGAGTTCAACCAATTCTCATGCCTCAGCCTCCCAAGTAGCTGAGATTACAGGTGCACACCATCAAGCCCAGCTAATTTTTGTATATTTAGTAGAGAGACTGGGTAATTTATAAAGAAAAGAGATTTAATCAGCTCACAGTTTCTAAAGGCTGTACAGGCAGCACGATGCTGGCATCTGCTTAGCTTGGGAGGCCCCAGGAAACTTACAATGATGGCAGAAGGCAAAGAGAGAGCAGGCACATCACGTGGCCAGAGCAGGAGCAAGAGAGGGAGTGCAGGGAGGCACCCCACACAAGTAACCAGATTTCTAGAGAACCCACTCACTATCACGAGGACGGCACCAAGGGGATGGTGTGAAACCATTCATGAGAAATCCACCCATGATCCAATCACCTCCCACCAGGCCCCACCTCTGATACTGAGAATCATAATTCAACAAGTGATTTGGGCTGGAACACATC